AAGTCTGGCTCAGTGGACAGAGCTTCGGCCTGCGGACTGAAGGGCCCCGGGTTCGATTCCGGTCAAGGGCATGTACCATGGCTGTGGCACATCCCCAGTAGGGGGTGTGCAGGAGGCAGCTGATCAATGTTTCTAACTCTCTATCCCTCTCCCTTCCTCTCTGTAAAAAAATCAATAAAATATATATATTTTTTAAAAGTGCCCCTGGCAGAAATGGTTGATTCTGGAGATGGGACAGGGTATAACTACAAGATGAATTTGAAATATCTTGTGGTGCCAGAAAGCAAGGAAATGCTAAAATAAAATTTTTTAAAAAACAACCCACTTTACAGATTATTAATTAGTTCTGAGCAGTTTAAACTCAGCTAATAAGATAACCACCTCTAAGAAAACTATACTAGGGTTGTCAGTAATTGAAGTAAGGATAACACACACAAATACATTATAAATTTTGCTATAACAAGACATAATGAATTAAGTTGGTAAGGGAAGAAGAGTATTAGCCTAGGAAAACAAGCAAAATCAGATAAGTTTTAAGATCAAGGCAAGATTTAGTTTTAAAATGTATGAAAATAGAATGAGTTCTACTATTACTAACAATTAAGTAATAGGAGGCAGAATTGACAATTCAGCTGAAAATCACTTACATGAAGTAAGAAGCCATAGTAATGAACTAGATGGTAAGGAGTTTACTGTGCGGAATCTCAGAGACTAAGTCATGGGAGGTCTTCACTCCATCATGTCAAGGTAGAGACTCTCCTAAGGCTGACGGCCTCTAAGAAAAGCCAGACTGAAAGCTCCCACTTTACCAAGAGCTCAGGACTGTCAGCTGAGGGAATGCCAACAGTCTCACCAGAAGCAACACCACCCTTCCCTTCTTTCCCAAGGCACATGCTTCCTTTGCTTCTAAAGTCTATGACTCAAGATAAATATCACATGATCTCACTCATATGTGGAATATAATGATCAACATAATTTGATGAACTAGATCCAGAGACAAATGGTAGGAGGGGGGAAGGATTAGAGAGCAACCAAAGGACTTGTATGCATGCGTATCAGCATAACCAGTGGACACAGGCACTGGGGCGGTGGGGGCTTGCCCAGGGTGGGAATGGCTGGCGGGGGGGAGGGGGGTCAATTGGGGAAAAAGAAGACATATGTAAAACTTTAGACAATAATAAAAAAATAAAGTCTATGACTCCACTCTGGCTAGTGTGCTCAATGGTTAAGCACCGACCTGAGCACCAAAGGGTCTCAGGTTCGATTCCCAGTCAAGAGCATGTACCTGGGTTGTGGCTTGCTCCCTGCTGTCCAGAGGCATCCAATCAATGTGTTTCTTTCACAGCCCAGTTTCTCTCTCCCCTCTGTCCTCTGCCCACTGCACTCTCCCTCCCTCCCTTACTCTTCCCTGCCCCTTCTCACTCCCTCCCTTCCGCTCTCTGAAAAGCAATGGGGGAAAATATCCTCAGATGAGGATTAACAAAAATAAAAAAATAAATGTGTTTCTGAATCTCTTCTCAGATGTTTATTGTTACCCCTCTTATTTTCAAAGTGAAAAAAGGAACTATCAAATAATAATAAAGTCTATGAAACAAAAAACTATGATAGAGAAAACAAAAATTTCAATAGATTAAATGATGAAGTTAGAGAAATTGCCAAGAAAGTAGTATGAAAGTCATGAATGTAATTTCTAAATACTGATTTAACAACAACAAAAAGGAATAATAGCTATACCAAAAGGGAAGTGGAGAAAAGGAGTGACTTAAGAAAGCTAAATCCTGCCCGGCCAGCGTGACTCAGTGGTTGAGCGCCAACCTATGAACCAGGAAGTCACAGTTCAATTCCTAGTCAGGGCACATGCCCAGGTTGGTCAACCTATGAACCAGGAAGTCACGGTTTGATTCCCAGTCAGGTCACATGCCCAGGTTGCAGACTCGATCCCTAGTAGGGGTATGCAGGAGGCAGCCAATCAATGAATCTCTCTTATCATTGATGTTTCTATCTCTCTCTCCCTCTCTTTTCCTCTCTGAAATCAATAAAAATATTTTTTTTAAAAAAAGCTAAGTCCTCACCTGATATATAGTAGGAAATCAGTAGCTAATGTCTTAAAATGATGACTCGGGACAGAGGAGATGCATAATATGTAGTCAATGAGGTAAATACTAGAAAAAAATAACAAAAAAATTAATAACAGAGTTGGAAGTGTTTGTCTCTGGTTTTTAAAGGGGTACATATATTCATTTGACAAAAGTCAGTTTTAAAAAAGTGATTTAAACTTGCCTTAGCCAGTGTAGCTTGGGTTGGTGGAGCGTCATCCTGTACACTGAAAAGTTGTAGACTAGATTCCCAATCAGGG